GGCCATCTGCACTTCCGCCGGTTAGTGTTGCGGTCAGGGCATCACCCCTGCCCGGGTTTACCAGGTTGGCGGTAGCCGTAGCCCCGGCATAACTATGAGCACTGAAATTGCCGATCGGTGCACCACTGTTTACCCATGCAGGGCCGTTCATAAGGGTGCCTGCATGGCCGCCTATATCATCGGCCAGGATGTCGCCGGTCTTTTCATCAAAATTATAATAGCTGAGCAGGTTGTTGTACAGCGCATCTGCACTGGTTATTTTCCGGCACATACGATCCCTGATCTCGGTTTCTGTGAGCGCCGTATTCCAGATACGCACCTCATCCATTTGTCCGTTCCAGTTGTAGCCACCGCCAGCCCAGCGTCCCAGGTGTAGCGATTCCGTACCATCATAGGTGATCGTAGCAGCGCCGTCGCTGCTTACCAGCCGCCCATTTACATAAACTGCTTTTTGGGTTGGAGAGGCTGTGATCACTACATGCTGCCATTCATCAGCCTTCAATGTAAACGGTGCAAGGGTGGGGAAGCCGCCACCCAGGTCGTACTGGTTGGTGTTGGCACCCACCTGTTGTATTCTCCAGGAACGGCTACTGGTATGGTTGTTATCTATGATATTTGCGTTGGATGATTGTGTGGCACCTGGCTTTAACCACATTTCTACAGAAAATGTCTGGTAGTTAAAATGAGTACCCAGGGCAATCGCATCATTATTGCCATCCAGCTGTAACGCAAAACCACTGCCTGGTCTGGGCGGTTTTACAATAAAGGTGGACGCCTGGAAAAGGCTCCATTGTCCTTGCTCGTTTTTTGTGCGGATATACAATTGGTGGTTGCCCTCCGCGAGTCCGGAAGGAATAGACAGGGTCATGGTCTGGTTAATGGAATCGCCGGGTGGGTTAATGGCAATAGCCGTTCCGTTGCCGTTACCAGGATCGGTATCTACAAAATATTCTGCACCCGCTATTTTGCGGTTGCTGTTATTGATCTGCGTCACCACGAAAGAACGTGTCTGGTAGTGACCCCATATATTCATATTGTTTCTGGCACGCAGGTATAACTGGTGAAAGCCGGTTGCCAACCCGTTGACTGGTATGGCAATTACCTCGTTTACATCAGCCGATTGGCTTACACTGATCGAATGGCCCCGTCCGTTTCCGGGATCGGTATCGAAGAAATATTCTATAGCTGTTATGTCGGCGTTGGCATTACCCATATTGGTCACCAGGAAAGCCCTTGTCTGGTAATGTCCCCAGTTGCCATTTGTATTTTTAACGCGCAGGTAGAGTTGGTGAAAGCCGGCGGGCAGGCCCGTCACCGGAATGGATACGGCTTGCGCTACGGTAGCACCGGTATTAATGGCTATGGAATGCCCGTTGCCCATACCCGGATCGGTATCAAAAAAATACTCCGCTTCTGAAAGTGACGGACCACCGATGGTGGTGATATAAAAGAAACGGCTGTAGGTATGTCCCCAAAGACCGGTACCTGTTTTGGCACGGATATGGAGCGAGTGAAAGCCTCCGCTCAGGCCGGTTACAGGAATGCTCTGGTTGAAGTCGACAGTAGCCCCCGGCGTAAAGCCACTGGTGA